TTGCTTTGTATGTACATGTGCACGGTTCAGAAATTTTAAACCTTCCTAATGACATACAATATATTCTGAAACTATTATTTATTAAATAATATATTCCAATATCGAGATATTTCAGTTACCCATTTGTATTACCTAAGTTGCTTTAGCATATTCAGTTTTAACCATGACGGACAGATTGTGGACATTTCTAGCTCATAAAAATATCAGCACGAACAAACAGGGACGTGCAAATTGACAGAATGTTTGTGGCCATGTGAAAATTACTGCTGGTGAATTATTTGAATTGCTTGTTGTCACAGCACAGGTAAACAGTGTGTATTCAAAACGTATAATCAACATGCATTCAGCATGTGTAAAGTTGTAACCACACAATATTTCAAAGAGTAGAAATCCATACGAGAACTCCGGTAAGCTCTCCTTTGTCAGCATTTCAAAAAGCCCCGTCATAATGATTGAAATACGATTTCTATATAATAGAAATGTTGCTAGAGTTACATTTGAAATGGCTTGTCAATGTGAATACCCCCAAGAAGGTTATTGCAATTGTGTTATTATACCCAGACTAACAGTTAGCAACAACCAAGAAGCACCTGAAAGCTGGGACAATATGGAAAGACATGTGTATTGATTTCAACTGAGTCAGACACACTCACCCATAGCGGACTAGCTCTATCAACTGAGGGGCAAAAAAAGTATATCAAACTTTGGACTTTTATCCAATGTGGCTGTGTATACCCATCCACTTGCAGTCAAATTTAACTATGTCTGATATCTCTGGTGCGAATTTGAGGAATTTATTGGATTGGGAAAACGTTACTGAGTCATACGTTTTTCAATACTCTGTAAGTTAATCTGAGGGTTTATACCACTGATTAACCCTGCAATTAAGTCATCAATCAACACCTATAACCTCCACAAGTGAAGGGTTATACCATGAAACGTGGATGACCAGAACGGATGAGTAATTGTTTTTTTTCACTCATGGCCAAAGGTTTTGCATATATTTTTTTATATATACACCAAGAACTTAGTTAAGCACCCCCTGACATATATCTTGATTGAATGATCCCCGATCCCAACCCTTTGGAGCATATCCGGGACAGGATTGGTCGTCATGTGCTAAAAAGGGATCTTCCTGTACAGTGAGTGAGTGAGTTAGTTAGTATTTAACGTGACATCGGCAATATCTCAGCCATATCGTGACGAAAACAGTTCATACAATGAAAAGTGAAAACATTGTGAGGAATAAAACCTGTCGATAATATACAGTAAAAATACTAATGAATCACAGATATGAATATAAAACTAGCGAGCAAAGCTGAAACATTCCAATTAAAGAAGACAATACAGTATAAAACACGGCTATAGATCGCCAACAACTGAAGGTAGATCACGATACTAAGGACCATGGGGACTTACAGTACCTTTGCTACCTACATGGACCCCAGTTGGATTTACATCATCCCTTCAGCAGCCAACGATTGTAGTCAAAATTTAGCCATAGTTAAAATCACAAAAATGCTATGCTTAAAATCCTGGTAAGTTTGAAATTGGCTGTGAGATTTTTGGACTCGGAGGAGGACAATAATTTTACAGTACTTTAACCCCACTTGAGGGTGCAGCCACTAACAGTTTTTAATTTAAACTTCCAATCATAAAATATCTATCTATACTGAGTCAAAAAAGAAACTTCACATTCTTTCTTCAGGGCACTATAAAAGAAAAAGAGATAGTAAGATGGTTAAATTGTTATTATTTCATTGCTGAGATGTGTGTGATGTACTCGATACACTGACAGTGCCATAACCAGTTCCATTAGGCTACACCGCCGTTCCAAAACATGGGTATACAGAATGTCAAGTCACAAGAATAAAAATGCGAAATTTCTCAGTTCAATATCGTGAATGGCCACCCCGCGCATTCACCACTGCCAAACACTGTCTCCTCATCGACTGCCTGATTCTTGTGAACACGTGGTTGGGGATTCTGCGCCATTGCTCTTGCAAGGCACCGCCAAGTTCCTGCAAATTCTGAGGTTGGTTCCTAAGACCACGAAGCCTTCTCCCAAGTGCATCCCAAACGTGCTCTATTGTATTAAGGTCAGGGGACCTCGATGGCCAGCCAATGACGCTGAATTCAGCGTTTTGAAGGACATTTCGTGTCAGCATCGCGGTATGCGGCCGAGCATTATCATGCTGGAACTGTAGACCTGGGCCATGAGCCGCCATGAAAGGAACGAGTTAAGGGGTAAGCACCTGGTCGCGTTAAGCAGCAGCTGTGAGGTTTCCACGGATGACCAGAAGTCGGGAACGGTTGTTCCCACAGAAAGAACCCCACACCATGCAACTTCCGCCCCCGAATCTGTCTACCTTCTGTACACAACGTTGGGCATACCGTTCACGTCGTCGTCTCCAGGGGGCGGTGGGGTAGCCTAGTGGTTAAAGCGTTCGCTCGTCACGCCGAAGACCCGGGTTCGATTCCCTACATGGGCACAATGTGTTAAGCCCATTTCTGGTGTCCCCCGCCGTGATATTGCTGGAATATTGCTAAAAGCGGCGTAAAACTAAACTCAGTCAGTCAGTCAGTCAGTCGTCTCCAGACTCTATGCCTGCCGTCCGCGAATCTGAGGAGGGTAAACCTGGATTCATCGCTAAAGACGACTCGATTCCAGTCTCTGGGTCCATCGGAGGTGACGGTTGGCCCACAGCAGACGTTGACGTTCATGAAACGGCGTCAATATTGGCCCACGATATGGACGTTGAGAATGGAGATTGGCAGCCCGCAACCGATTTCGAATGGTCTGTGAGGACAGTCGACCTCTAAACATCTCAGCCCTGGTTCGTGTAGCCGGCAGAAATCTGTCACGTAGGTGACGTAGGACGATTTGACGGTCTTCTGCTCGTGACGGCACACGTGGACGACCCGACCTTGGGCGATCAGAAGCGGTGCCAGTTTGTTGTAGACGACCTCGCAAGTCATACACAGTACGACGGCTGCATCTCATTGCTCTTGCGAAGTCAATAACTGATCTTCCCGCTTGCAACATGCCAACGGCACGTTCACGTTGCACATTTGACAATCGTGGCATTTCAAGTACCGTTAGAACTGTGGTTTAAAAGTGTGTTTTTCACTTCTTGAGCCCAATGCGAACACGCGCATATGAAGAAAACTTCGATGCGAAGATCACGTGATCGACTGCACGTGCAACACCTGATTTGGCACTAACGCCCTTGGCACGACGAATGGATGGGTTTGAGTGGGTTTTGGTAACGTTTTTCTAGAGTCGAAAGATAGGGATCCCATTTCGGATACATAGATGTATCATCAGAGAAAAAAATATTCATTATTTTCAAATTACATTTTCTGAAGTTTCTTTTTTGACTCAGTATATTTACAAATCGGTTAACAAATTTAATTCTTTAAAATGCAATTATTAAATGAGAACTCATGTTATTAAAAAGATCCTTAGTTCGTGATTTGAAATAATTATCCCTTGTGGTGGAATATTCAATGCAATCAAGCAACATATGCTTGACCGTGATTCTTTCATCAAAAAGGATACAAAACGGAGGATCTTCGTCTTTCAATAAATATTCGTGAGTATATCGAGTATGGCCAATGCGACATCGTCGCATAATGACCTCTTCTTCCTGTACAGAACCTGGAAGCTGCTTTACACGAGGAATGACGTAGACTGAACCTTCAGAGGATCAGGAGGTTGACGGAGGTTATGAGGGGGAGTGTGCTGTCTGTCATACAGTCATATGGAGGTTACACTCGGTATTGACCTTAAGTCGTGTAAGACACGCAAAATGACATTTTGAAAGTTCACATTCATCAAAAAATTCAACATTAAACATTCCAGGGTCATACTTGCACAGACATTGTTTTGTATGAAAATCACCAGCACAATAAGTCCGCAATCTAGACTTCCAGTTGTCCGAATTCCATTTTTGTGGAAGTCGCGGTGGCTTAGCGGGTTAGGCGGCTGACTTTGTGTGCTGGCAATTTGGTGCCTGATCCTGAGGTAGTCATGTAAAGACCCATGAATATAACTCAATATTATAATATCAAATGATTAAAAACAAACTACCTGACCATATACTAAATTGCAAACGCAATAATCTCTCTTCGAAAGATATTATTAGCTTCCGAAAAGCGTGAATGTGAAGACATTTGCAAATTTATAGACATTGCCCAATTCATTTGCTTATTTATGAAATCGCATAAGCAATAAACATATTACACACATTCTTTTGCGTAAATTCCTCCAGCAGGAAAAGTGTTGGACAGAATGTACTGTACAAGTTTCTCTCGAGGCTGAAATGTGGTACCTGTGAACGCATCGCCAATTCATAAATATAAACTAGTTTACAAAGGGAGATAATTTGCAAACAATAATGTCAAGTAAGGTATACCACGGAAGCAAATAAACAGTTCCTGTGGGAGTGAGTGCAGAGCAGAGTGAGTGAGAGAGTGGTGAGTGAGTGGAGTGAAGTGAGCGAGTGAAGAAAGGAGTGAGTGAGTGAGTGAGAGTATGAATCTACGCAACTCTTAGCAATATTTTGTTGTCTCATTACAAATTTACCCAAGGTTCTGTGAGGCTTAGGAACGTTTCCAGAAACCCTCTTGTGCATTAACTCCTCCCAAGCAGATAACAATCCAGATGTGGCCTTCGTGTCAGCAGTTAAGGAAGTTATCTATACAGAAGTCTGCAAAGTTATTAACGCTGACGTATTTATCATTAACAGGTTGCCTTCAATATTTTTGTGTACATTTTGTGTAGGCGTAAATGTCGGTGTATGAACATCCGCACATTAGGCTTTGTGGATCTCATTTTACTGAATTTATCATGATTTACGTCGGACAAGGTCCAGAAGGACACATTTCACTAACGCGCATTTAATTTCAAAGTGAGGCTACGAGCCTCCAGTAAACCATTGTGTGTATGAATATCAGCGCATATTCTCATAACATACATATCACCAGGAACTCACCTTCGCGTCACAGTGAAGGAGGTTACCTGTACAGGTAGGTGGGTTGTGTCTCTGCCCCTCATTTTCATTACATTGGGCATACAGATAACTGCTCGATATTCAGAGTCAAACCTTAGCGTGAGTATGTCAATATACTGTCAGGACGTTGATGGTGGGACCTTGTATCTTAAAGTTATTCAATGTATAGCCCCAATATTAAAGTTACTTGACTGCCACACCCTCCCACTTCTCTGTTCTGAACAAGACCGCCGACTCTCTGCTCACAAACCGGGACCCGCTCCATTGTCAGTAGCAAACATACTCGGCCACACAAAATAGATATGCCGCCTGTACTGAAGGACAAATACTGATTGAATGGATATTTCAGAACCATTTTGTCTCATTTGAGAGTGTTCGTTCACGAATATTGTATTGATGTTAGATTCATTAAGCGTTAGATATATACTTTGTATATATTCAAAATGATTGGGAGTGTTAATTGTGTTCATCGAGCTTTAATACATTTCTGATACAGATAAAGATACGTTTCAAGTGTACAATCAGGTGCAAAATATATAACTCTCAAAATCCCGCTCAGACAGTTTTGAGAAATTAGATGTATTTATCATCACCTGGTACAGTAAGAAATTCACTCCAGACGGCCATACAGGATACACATATCATTATTACCATAGAAAATTATATTTCTGCGGAGAGTAACAACCTCTTTGAATACTTATGCAAATCCTACTAAATGCGTGTTCTTGGGATATATCCGCAAAAGCATAGCGTGTAAATTGTCAAAAGCCGAGTTCCCTGCACAGTTCTGAGTGCATCAGGAAAACGTTAATGTATTCATGTGTCCCTAGTCATACCCTTCATGTTCATCTTCATCATTACATAGAATACGTGCGTGGGAAATACACTCTTCGAAAAAAGAAAAGCATAGGTCATTTTTAGAAGAATTTAATGCGTTACTTTAAGGTCAATTATTTCATGTAATTTCAATGGTTTTGAAAAAAGGTGAAAACTCACACGTCTACAGAAAAAGAGTTCGTCAACACAACATCAGCCTTTATTGTTGTGTTTATGTTTACTTGTGTCCACAAGATGGCGTCAAAGTAAGTATACATTGTATGGGCCACCATTGGCAGCAGTTACGGCTCGCCACCGTCTCGGCACAGACTGGATAAGTCAACGAAGTGGCTCTTGCGGAATTCTTCCTCACTCATCCTTCAATGCGATGGCCAGTTGTGGAAGTGTCTCAGGCGTGTTTTGACGTTGACGTACACGTTGATCGAGCTCATCCCATATGTGTTTTATCGGGTATAGATCTGGTGCTCGGGAAGGCCATGGCAAGAGATTGACGTTAGAATTGGCAAGAATTGGAAAGCGGACCGTGACGAGTACTGAATGTGAAGCGAAGCGTTGTCATGCTGGAACAACTCACTCCGTCTGTCCACATTTGGAAGCATGTGATGTGCAAGGTCTTCGTTGATGTACCGATATGCTGTCTAATTCCCCTGAACGACCACTATATCAGCTTTTTGTGTGCTGGATATCCAAACCGACACCATGACCATACTACCACCACCGAATCTGTCGACCTGTCGAATGCAATCAGCGGCAAAATGTTCATTTCTCCTACGGTAAATACGATGTCTTCCATCTCGCCGGTGAAGAAGAAATTGTGATTCATCACTGAAACAGACTCGCCATTAGTTTCTAAGGTTCCAGTCCTGACTCTACGACACAACCGCAAGCGATTGCACCAATGGAAGTCTCTCAAACAGGGGCGACAACTGGCCTTCTTGGCCAAATCCCCACTTCACGCAATCGATTCCTGACAGTTTGATGGAAATTCTTCTCAAACCAGGGATGCGTTGTGCAGTCTCCACGGCTGTGGCAAGACGATAACGCAAGTGAGCAACTCGGATGTAGCGGTCCTGGGCTTGGGTGGTAACTCTTAGACGGCCTCGGTCTGGGGCAGAATTGGTCTGGAAGGAAACGATCCCAAAGGCGAGATATGGTGCTCTGATGAATGTTGAAATGTCGGTCACTTCAAGGCGATCTATGGCGATGTTTCGACTGGCGGCATGATGATTTCCTCTTTACCAGGCAAAAACGAATGACAAAATTAAACACAAAGTTTGCCTTTTTTATTGATCGATACCACATGCTTTTCCGCTTACTTGCACGTGCATTATGCTTTGCATGTTTATTGGTGACGTTTTGGCGAATATTTCTTCAAACGCTTCTAATAGATGGGAAAAAGTTAAAATTGCTGCGTTTTGACGCTGAAGCTGTTTTAGATGACGCAAAGTTGTGGTTTTGTACATTGCACAGCTCGTGATCGTTGGGGTCCTTGTAAACAGGACGCAAAACCATTGGATGTGGCATAACATAACCTCGTACTCACGAACGGTCACTAAGTGAGGCATACGGTCATATGAACAGCAGACTCACACCATGGATTGACTAAAAAGTCAGGCCGGGCCGGACAGGGCCAAGACTGGCAAACTTCTTTCTCTTCTGATGTATCGCCTCCTTTTGTAACAGTGTTATCCCTCGCCTACCGACTCAGGTGACACTGCTACAAAATGACGTACATCAGGACCGTATTACTCCTCGAGAGAAGCACACAACCATCACAGGCAGTACAGTGAGGTTTGTGGCCATGTGAGAATTACTACTGCGTTGTTTGAATGCTTGTTGTCACAGCACAGGTAAACAGTGTGTATTCAACACATATAATCAACATGCATTTAGCATGACTTCAGGTAAAACTGACAGTCTACCAAGCCACGAGGACAATAGTAAAGTTGAAAACCACACTGTTTATCAAAGAGCGAAAATTCATAGGATAACTCCGATAAGCTCTCCTTTGTGAGCATTTTCAAAAGGCTCAGTCATAATGATTTACATACGTTTTCTATACAATAAAAATTACTGATACATTTGAAATGGCTGCAAAGTTATTAACGTTGACGTATTTATTATTAACAGTTGCCTTCAATATATTTGTGTACATTTGTGTAGGCGTAAATGTCGGTTAGCACAGTGTATGAACATCCGCACATTAGGCTTTGTGGATCTCATTTTACTGAATTATCATGATTTGGTCATGACAAGGTCCAGAAGGACACATTTCACTAACGCGCATTTAATTCAAAGTGAGGCTACGAGCCTTCCAGTAAACCATTGTGTGTATGAATATCATGCATATTCATAACATACATATCACCAGGAACTCACCTTCGCGTCACAGTGAAGGAGGTTACCTGTACAGGTAGGTGGGTTGTGTCTCGTCTCTCACTTTGTCACACTGCAAACAGATAACTGCTCGATATTCAGAGTCAAACCTTACGTGAGTATGTCAATATACTGTCAGGACGTTGATGATGGTACCTGTATCTTAAGTTATTCAATGTATAGCCCCAATATTAAAGTTACTTGACTGCCACACCCTCCCACTTTCTGTTCTGAACAAGACCGGACTTCTGCTCACAAACCGGGACCCACTCCGTTGTCAAAGTAGCAAACATACTCGGCCACACGAAATAGATATGCCGCCTGTACTGAAGGGACAAATACTGATTGAATGGATATTTCAGAACCAGTTTTGTCTCATTTGAGAGTGTTCGTTCACGAATATTGTATTGATGTTAGATTCACAAGCGTTAGATATATACTTTGTATATATTCAAAATGATTGGGAGTGTTAATTGTGTTCATCGAGCTTTAATACATTTCTGATACAGATAAAGATACGTTTCAAGTGTACAATCAGGTGCAAAATATATAACTCTCAAAATCCCGCTCAGACAGTTTTGAGAAATTAGATGTATTTATCATCACCTGGTACAGTAAGAAATTCACTCCAGACGGCCATACAGGATACATATCATTATTACCATAGAAAATTATATTTCTGCGAAGAGTAACAACCTCTTTGAATACTTATGCAAATCCTAACTAAATGCGTGTTCTTGGGATATATCCGCAAAAGCATAGCGTGTAAATTGTCAAAAGCCGAGTTCCCTGCACAGTTCTGAGTGCATCAGGAAAACGTTAATGTATTCATGTGTCCCTAGTCATACCCTTCATGTTCATCTTCATCATTACATAGAATACGTGCGTGGGAAATACACTCTTCGAAAAAAGAAAAGCATAGGTCATTTTTAGAAGAATTTAATGCGTTACTTTAAGGTCAATTATTTCATGTAATTTCAATGGTTTTGAAAAAAGGTGAAAACTCACACGTCTACAGAAAAAGAGTTCGTCAACACAACATCAGCCTTTATTGTTGTGTTTATGTTTACTTGTGTCCACAAGATGGCGTCAAAGTAAGTACATTGTATGGCCACCATTGGCAGCAGTTACGGCTCGCCACCGTCTCGGCACAGACTGGATAAGTGGACGAAGTCGCTCTTGCGGAATTCTTCCTCACTCATCCTTCAATGCGATGGCCAGTTGTGGAAGTGTCTCAGGCGTGTTTTGACGTTGACGTACACGTTGATCGAGCTCATCCCATATGTGTTTTATCGGGTATAGATCTGGTGATCAGGAAGGCCATGGCAAGAGATTGACGTTAGAATTGGCAAGAATTGGAAAGCGGACCGTGACGCGTACTGAATGTGAAGTAGCGTTGTCATGCTGGAACAACCCACTCCGTCTGTTCACAATTGGAAGCATGTGATGTGCAAGGTCTTCGTTGATGTACCGATATGCTGTCTAATTCCCCTGAACGACCACTATATCAGCTTTTTGTGTGCTGGATATCCCTACCGACACCATGACTCTTCCACCACCGAATCTGTCGACCTGTCGAATGCAATCAGCGGCAAAATGTTCATTTCTCCTACGGTAAATACGATGTCTTCCATCTCGCCGGTGAAGAAGAAATTGTGATTCATCACTGAAAGAGACTCGCCATTAGTTTCTAAGGTTCCAGTCCCACGACACCACCGCAAGCGATTGCACCAATGGAAGTCTCTCAAACAGGGGCGACAACTGGCCTTCTTGGCCAAATCCCCACTTCACGCAATCGATTCC